ACCATCCGGACTATCTTAATATTAAGATATGAGTTACTCCTTCTATCAGATTGACCTTTTAGGATGGGACTCCAGGTCTTCACACAATATCCAAGGGAACGGGGGTAAATAATTACGTAGTATGTTTTTAAAATTTTCTCACAAAGATACCACACATGTTTTACATTACTGATTTTTCTGGCATAGTTGATCGTTGACACCTTTCATAGATTAAATAATACTCTAACGTGTGAGCTAGATTCAGTATAAATTTCTAAATTATTTCTATCTCGATCATTTTATAAAAAAATCGTAGTACGTCTGTGCAAACAATCTCAAAGGTAGATATTATAAATATAATTATATGTTGATATATTAAAGCTTTTTAATATATATTTTGGAGTCGTTTGAACTAGCTTGAACCAACTATATGTACGTATATATATAGTTAACTTATTCGATCTTGAATCATGGACGTAACTATATGTAGGTATATGTATATAGTTAACTGATTCTTGAATCATCAACTAACTTAACTATATGCATATGTATATAGTTCAAGAATCTTGAATCTTGAACTATCAAGATCAGCTCTCCCTAGCTTATATATACTACCTATTAATTAAATTAGGCCACCCAGCCAGTTGTTTTCACTTCAATTCATCTCTTGCAAGATCTTCTGTTCTGGATGAATTACTCCCGAATTAATGAATGTTTAGTGGAATGGGATTGTGGGCCACTGTAGTCAGTATCAGTCGCCTCAGAAGGAGACGGTGACAAGAGATGAGGTCTCCCGTGAAATATGATTAAACACCTGTCTGTTGGGACTCTTGGGAGACACGTGAGTGGTCTAGGGTAGGGTTGTGCATGCGCCGTTTGGACAAAATGCAGCGACTTCTACCCGGGATCTGAATAAATTCAGTCCTGAACCTATGAGGGTTGTCCAGAGTATATGAGTGATTGGGAGTAATTTTCTCGATTGATAGCACAATAGAGGTAACAGATTTAATAGTGATTATTGTTCTCTTGCTCACTTGAGCTTTCTGCTTCCTCACTCTCATTGTGTTCACTCAGTTACTCACTCACTCTCGGCTTTGTCCTTTGGGTAGACTTATGTAACACTTGAGATTTAATTTAAATGGATTAATAGTACTACTCATACCAACAAGATGCATCTCCTTTTAAGGGAGCTCATTAGCCAAGAACTTCAAAGTTAAGCGTGCTTGCACGGGAGTAGTCTTGGGATGGGTGACCCCTCGGGAAGTTTCTCAGGGCGCGCACGAGTGAGGACAAAGTGCGCGGAAAAGGCTAGTGGCGGTTTGTGAGGACAGTACTAGAGGTCAGAAGTAACTACCTCGGGGCCTACTGGGCCGGGGTGTTACAACTTAGTTGGGTTTACTAAGCCATTGAGACTTATCTTCTCATTTCTCTTTGCTCTTTTCTTTTCTCTTTGCTCTTTTCTTTTCTCTTTGCTCTTTTCTTTTCTCTCTGTACTTCCCCTCAATTGGAGCACTCAGTAGGATGCCTTTCACGTTGATTGGCGCTTGGGAGGAGAACTTAAAAAAAACCAAAATTTGCATCCTCGAGAGAATCCTTGCATTTTACATTGTGTAGCACCAGGAGGAGAAAAATGAAACTCCCCCTCAAGAGTTGCAAGTTGTGTTGTTTGTTAGCCGGGGAGTAAAGTAGAAAACGCCCCCTTGAAATGTGTTTTCTTCGTTGTTTGGCACCAGGAGGAGTGGAAAAGAAACACTCCCCATCAGAATAAGCACTCGTTGTTTGTTCTTGCCACGTGTTGGTGTGAAGGTGCATTTGTTGATTTTCAGCTTGGTGGAGAGCATGCACGTCAATATTCTCCTTGATAATGTGCACCAGATGATTGCTCCGAGCTTGTCTTATTACCCGCCATATGTGTGGAGCAATCAGATCAGTTACCACACATGACAGACCCAACATAACAGATTATGTCTTCTTTGGTACTCATTTCCAGATGGGTCCTTCCTTTGCAGCATTGAATAACTGTTGCACTCTCTGTTTGATTTGGGATCCTAGGCTAGCTGGATGAGAAGAGTTTGTCAGTCTTAACTTTTCAGCTTCAACCTTTGAAACCCATTATTTTTTGAGCTTAGGAATAGAAAAGGTTTCACTATCAGTGAGTGAATGATCAGACATATAATCCTTTAAAATTGGTTCTTGAGAGAGTCTTCTCAAGTGTTTGAGTGATTGAACCTTGAGGAGATACTTCAACCATGGGAGTTTATACTCTCCCTCAATGTTGAACTTTGCGGAAGCTGGGTTCTTTGGACACTGCCGATCATTCACACCCTTATCTTCATTTGAGGAGGCAGCATGCAACAAGGAACAAACTTTTGTTAATTTGACACATTCCAACGTAGAAGAGCTGGAACAGTAGTGATTGCTGACATATGTCTTTCTTTTAGCATATAACAGAGCATTCAAACATCGGTTCCTGTTCCTTTGATGAGATTCTTATTCCTTCTTTCTTCTTCTTAACTTCTCCTCAATCCATTCTCCTCTCTTTTCCACTCTCCTCTTCACATGATATCTTGTCGGAGAAGGAGACTCAGAGTTAGAGGTAGAAGTTTCAGGATCATCAGTTGATTTTTCAAAACAGGTCTCGGATGATCGAGGAGAAGGAGATTGAGATCTTGTGCCTGATTGAGAGGATGTCCTTAACAAGGATATTTCATTTAAAAGTAGTTCCCTCCCAAGCTCAAACGCATATTTTTTCTTATCAAAAGCTTCTTTCAATTCAGCAATAGAAGTTGAATGTATGCTGGTTTGGCTACAGGCTTTGAAGTTGAAGGTTCCTCTTTATCTTGTACAGTCTCTTTTGCAGGGTAAAAGGTTAGAATCTCTTCGAGAGGAGTCAACATGGGCTCTTTTGTTTCATAGCTCTTGTTCAAGGCAGCATAATCAAAAGGAATTTCCGTTCCGGGATTAGCTCTCTTTTCTTCCTCCGTCACAACTGCTTCCTTTTCACTGAAAAAGCACATTAACTTGGTCAAACCTAAACCCATATAATTTATGTCATAAAGTTGAACACAGTTCACTTTCTTAAAATTACTCGGATTAGATAGACTAAGCCCTTCTTTGGAATTATAGAAACGGGTGTCCTTCGGTTGGTTCAAGAAGATTGTTTGTTCTGTTTGACCTCTTTTTGCAATTTTTGCAATAAGATCCTCTAATTCTTTGATTTTACTGTAAAGGGAACTCCTTTGTTTAAGAATAAAATCTCTATCAGCCTTGGCCGTGTTTCGCTCTATCTGGGTCTCTTGCAACCTCTCCGTCATATCAGCTATTTTTTGTACTAGCTCTTCTATTTCTGAAGTCATCTTCTTAATCTGATCCTTGGCGTTTTCTAATTGAATGCTCAGTGAGGTTTTCTGATCCAGATTCTTTACAAAGACCCATTAATTGTTGTCTAACCTCTCCTTTAGTTCCTTAATAGCATCATCCTTGTTATGAGTTTGACAAGTACAGGTGCAAGGAGATCAGACGTCCATTGTTGTTGATTGTTGAATGTTGACTGTAGACGTGAGGTTGATTGAAGTTTCTGCAATTTTCTAGACCTTGAAATGTAGCTTTTGTCCTTGAGAAAACTAGTCTTAACCTTGAGATTTTTTTTTTAAAAAAATTAATTAATTTTTTTAATCTCAAAGTTGACCTCGTGGAAGCTCAAAAATTGAAATGAGCTCAAAATTAGCTCTTGAAGTGTGAGTTTTAAAAAATGTACTTATTCCAGGAGTCAATTGCGTCAATTGCGTCATTCTTTTAATCACAGGTTTTCCATAGCAAATCTAGTCACTTCTTGGTTATGATCAACTTGATTTCCCAGGACTTCAATTTCCTTCAAATGCTCTTCTTTCTCTTTCAACAAGTAAGTCTCAGCTGTGGTGGTGTGGTGGGGCAGCGTCCTGTCGGCATTCAATGGCGGGTCACCGGCGACGCGGAGATAGTGGCCTGCGGTGGCCTGCGGCTGCGATAGATAGTGATGGTCAAATCATGGATTGGATCGGGTAATTGTAATTGATTGGTTCAGATTATTGTAATTGATTGGGTAGAGTAATCGTAATTGGACGAGTCTAGTAACTGTAACTAGACGGTCCAAGTAACTGTAATTGGGCAGACTGATTAACTGTAACTGTGCGTTGGTCAATGGATGGAGGGATGTTGGTCAATGGAAGGGCAAGTGTTGATCACTGAACGGGTGAACATTGGTCACTGGATGGGGAGTCACTATGTCATTTGGTCACTAGGCGAAAGTCACTGTACAATTAGTCAGTGTGGCGGGTGAATTGTTTTAGTAAGGGTAAAACAGTTCATTTTCCCTGATTGGACTATGAATATCGAAATTGTCATGTGGACGGGGAGACATTTTTTGAAATTTAATAAAAAGTTACTTTTTGTTCATTCTCTAATTTTCATTAATATTTTTGGCAAAACTCCTTTTCAATTTGCTATTTCACATGGCCGCCAAAATTGATAAAATTATAAATTATGGAAGAAGTAATTGTTAGAAAAGATGAGTTGGATTCTTTATGTAAAAAATAAAAAATGAAATAAATTTATGAATTTGATGATAATGAAAAATATAACAAGTTAATACTCCCTCCGTTCCTAAATAAATTTCCAACTTTCCTTTTTCATCCGTTCCAATTAAAACTTCCACTTTCCCTTTTTAGTAAAAAATTTGTGGTTCACAACATTTCTTACACATTTCTCTCTCCTCTGCACAACTCTCCACCACACAATACCCACTATCTTAAACTCTGTGCCAAACCTATTTGGAAGTTTTAATAGGAACGGAGGTAGTATCCCATTTACAATTTTAGAGATAAATTGAACGGCTCACATTCTTTAATCGTAAAAGAGAGTTTAAAAAACCTCCTCTTCCGTATTATCTTATAATATACAAAAATAAGTGGAATGTTGGCCAATATTCCCGCTCAAAAATGTCTCAGTTAATGGCCGGTCAACACTTGGGATAAAGCGGAGAAGCCCAATGAACAACTAATGTGGAGAAGCGTGCACTTCCATTGAATATTGGGATAAAGGTAGGCTAAATTGTGTCAGAGTGCAACCTGTCAATCTTCTTTCTCTTGAACAACCAGACCTATTCCCTCACGGTTTTTTTGGATTTCCAAAAGAAAATTAAAAAATCAGCCACCTAACAGTTTGCTTCTGAGGGAGCTCCGGCGAGAAATCCCACGAGGTAGCTGCGAACATGCTGCCTACATCGATTCAATTCGGCCATTATCGCTGCCTTACCAAGAGGGTAACTCCAACTGACGTAATCAAAACCCGAACTCAGATGCCGTCCGCCAACATAAAAGGTCTCCAATGGAAGCGTCTGACAGATTTAGGTCCAGAATGCGACGACGGAGGTTGTGACAGAGGCGACTGAGCGACACCCACCCACCCTCTGTCGAAGCGGCCTCACCACTGGAGACGACGGGGCCTCCAGTCCGATCCCAACGACGGCGAACCCTGGACGACCAAATGGAGAAACCTCAGGGCAGCGGCGGGCCTGCGTCCAGCCGGTGTCTCAGGGTGGGTGGTGGTGGGCAGCTGACTGCAACTAGGCTGTGGAGACCGTTGGGTTGATTTCTCTTACGCCGGGAAACATCTGGCTGATAATTGGCTGGTAAGGGTGATTTCTTATTACTCCAATACTCTATCAATTGAAAATGATTTAAATTTTAGAATTATTTTGATATAAAAAACAAGTGTGAAGGTAATATTTAATTTGTTTAAGATGGCAACATTTAAGATGGTAATAAACAATGCTAAACATGTATTTCATTTTTGTTAAAAAAGATTGAACTCCAATGAGCCTGATCGGCTAATCAGAACATCTTACTATCTTACTCCCTCCGTCCCTTATAACTTTGACAACTTTCCTTTTTTGTATGTCTCATTAATTTTGCCACTTTCCCTTTTAAGTAAAGAATTTGTGGTTCCAATTAATTCTCTCTCCTCTGCACAAACTTCAACCACACACTTTTCACTTTATTAATTCTCGTGTCGGTCAAACTTGGCAAAGTTATTAGGGACGGAGGGAGTACTATATACAAAAGGAAGTGGAAAATCATCCTATTTTCCCACCTAAAGATATGGGTCAAAAAGTGGGTCGGGCGTGGTAGCTGCCAGCTCATTCGTCTGTTCCGCTATATGCATTGGGCAGTGTACTAAAGCATTGTTGTGTGTTGAAGCTTTTAACCGATGGTCAAACAAGTGAACTAATATAGCCATATAGGGAGCACTCTGCATTACACATAGATATAGGTTGACTAGAGATGTGTTTGACTGTTAGTTGCCCTATCTCTTTTTGGATTTCCATTATAGCTGATTTTAAATCTGTATCCAAGTTTTCTCGACAAATATTTGGCCGCCGATTGATTTCAAGTAGACTAGAGGCTTCTGGTGGAGGGCATAATTAAAGCCGGGCTGGGGTTTTTTCATTTTCATGGGTAGATCATCACCAACATCTCCTTTCATCATTCGGCGCCGGAGACTGGTGATGTGGCACACCGACGATAAGATCCAGATATGGCAAGCTTGCGCGCTCAAGGGCGATTGTGCTCCAGCGTTGGTGGAAATACAGTTTTGGCTACGCCAGCCAGACTTGAACTGCAGCAAGGGGTTATTCAAATGGTAAGAAGCGGCCCTTTTGGTTCCATGACCATCAGGAAGCTTCAACAACACCAGGCAACACTCAGAAAAGTTGAGCAAGTGAATCACCAAGACTAAAAATATGTTCCAATCATATCCACGCTCACCCAGCTTCAGGTATCCCAAATTTAGGTTTGAAATTTTAATTGTTAGATTGTTGATTGCTACGTTGTCAAAGAAACCAATGCTAAACTCAGCAAAAACAGAAATGTTGTCGCAGGGAAGGTTGTAATGCTTTTATATAATGAGATGAAGACGCCCAAGAGAAGAGAACCCTATTTACGATGAGGAGGGAAACAGAAAAGGTACATTTTTTCTATTAAATATTACTTTGGTCAAGTTAACTTTGATTCTTATTTGAATTAATTTGATTTAATATACTCTGTATAATTTATCTTTTTAGCCTTATTCAGAGTGATTCTGTTAAAAATGTTGATTTGTCTATACCAAGCAAATAGCTTGATGGAACTGAGGCAGAAAAGGTAATATAGGCAGTCATAGTATGATGTTGTATTATTTATTCTTTGGTTCATTAATGGAGTTAAACCTAATACTTTTACACCAGATTAAATTATCTGTCAGTGATGTAAAGACCCCAATTGCAGCTTCACAGAAAAAATTGGTTACAACTCTTGATGACAAAATTAAAGCAGGCTTAGAGTAGTGGAGTAGTTCTTTGGGTTGGTTGGATTCGATTTTGATTTTTACTCAAAAAATACAATTTTGATTTTTACTCAAAATAATAATCTGTAAATTTATTTCAAATAGATTTTGTTTGGTTGGATTCAATTAGTTAGGCAATCTGGAATGAGTACTCTTGGTAACCTATTTTATTAGTCAAAATGTTGAGTTAAAATTCATACTTTCTTGGATCAACAGTATTTGGTTGAGTTCCCATCTATGGTTAATTAAGAATAGAAAATGGATTAATATTTTTTTGAATGAATTGACAAGCTATATAAGATGTTATTATATGGAGCTAAACTCATTTTCTATAGTATAACTACTCTCTAATTCTACATTTCTGCATATGTGATGTTTGATAAAATGCTTAGGTCAAATAGTATTAGAAAAAAATACAAAACATGCCAGTTGAGTCACATATATTTTGAGAGAGATATTTTAATGATTATTTTACTTAGATTCATACTTAAATAATTTCCTACTTTTTCAGAAAACGGGCGACCCTAACCATTTCCCTGAAGATAAAGAGGTTGTAATTGACAAAAAAAGTTTGTTCTAAGTTCAGGTTAAAAAGGGCCTGAAGGATACTCTTACAAAGGCATAGGTTCTTTTGGGGGTGCTGTCTATGTTCAGAGATCCATCCATTTTAACATTGTATGCGACCGACAAGGCTGAGATTAACGAATTGGAGGAAAGAGAGATAGTACATTATCTCTTAAAATAGAACTTTGATCAAATGTACTTTGATTAATATTTATCATTTGATTTAATATAGACTTAATATTTTGTCTATTTCAGAGTGGGTGGCTCAACCGCAAACATAGCGAGTGTAATAGTTTAACTGTAGAAACTTAAACTTAAACTTATTGATGTGTAACTCACCGATTGTTTTTTGCTAAATTTAAACTTATTGATGTGTAATAGTTTAACTGTAGAAACTCATCCTGATTGGTTTTTTGCTAAACTTAAACTTATTGATGTATAATAGTTTTTCTGTAGGCTCTGGTATTTCTGTTTTATGGTTAGTTGATTTTGAAGGATTATTAATTATGGATGATCCGTTAGTTTGGCCCGGGGCTTCTGATCTCAAGGTACGACCAGCAATTTCTTCAACTATTTTCCTTGGCACCGTTAGTTTCATATTGAAACATTATCTATCTGTTGAAATGTTGGCAATATAAGGTGGTTCTATAATTTATTTTTCCCTTATCACTAGCTTTTGTTGAAGTAGAAGAGATCTTCTCAATATGCAGGTTAAACACGCACACACCAAATCCTGTAAGTAGCTGGTGCACTCTTTAGTTAATTAGTTAAAAATAGTTATTTTTACTTTTTAGGCTTTCATCTTATTCAGCATCAGTGGAGTGCCCCCGACCTGACATTGTCTATTTATCCTATTAAAAGGATGCACTCCTATCTCTCTACAAAAATCTTTTTTCCTACTAAAGGAGTAAAGAACATGTAAGACACAAGTAGAAGTGAACTTAGAAAACAAGGAAATGGTGATGTTTTCGTACATTGAAGCATCATGATATTGTTTAATTTAGAAAACTTTTATTGAGTAGCTATAATAAGTCATATTTAACATAATATATGAGAAAAAAAGAAAATAATTTAGGCATAGAGAAATACTAGGAAATTTGAAACATTAGAAATGAAGCAGGAAATTTGAACTAAGCAAGAAAATTAGGCAAAGAGGGAATTCTAGATTCCATTTTGTCATTTGTCTTAGATAACTTAATACTGAGCAGTGTGAGTATGGCAGTTTCAACATACTAAATGAGAAGAAAGCAAGTAAAGTAGACAATCTACCTCTGTTACTTCTGTTATTGGCTGTGTTGGGAAAAGATGGTGTACTTTTTACTTTTTACATTCTTAAAGTGGAAAATCTACCTCTTACTATATACAAAAGGAAGTGTAAAATCAGGCTATTTTCCCGCCTAAAGATACAGGTCAAAAAGTGGGTCAGGCGTGGTAGCTACCAGCTCATTTGTCTGTTCCGCTGAATGAATCGGGCAGTGTACTAATGCATTCGTATTTATTTATTTATTTATTTATTTACATATTTATTTATTTATTTATTTCTTTCTAATTTTTTGAAATCATTATATAAGAAAATAGGATGTCTGAAATCCTTTGTGGCATGTTTGCAGTAATGCACAAATCCCAAGTGCTGATAATGTGTCTGATAATGTGTCTGTATGTGAGAAATAAGTGCTTTGAAACCTTGATATATATTTTTATTTATAATGTATACTATGAAAAAATTGTTGTATATACCTCTTAACTCTTAAGGAAGCATAATATACTTCACGGAAATTAAGAATGATGTATGCAAGGATAGAATGATATATACCTTTAAGGTGGTTTATGAACACTCTATTGGAATGTACTTTTACAAGTTTTTTTTTTGAACGGAACTTTTACAAGTTTAAAAAAAAATTATAAACGAAGTTGCTACAAAACTCATTTTAGATGTATATATGGTAGACTTGAATACACACTAATTAACACTTTAGCAGACCAATATTCTGTCAAAAAAGTTGCAATAGCAGATCAATATAAACTACATTGAGTATTGTCGATTAAAATTGATTATAATAAATGCTTTTCTCACACATCAACTTTATTTACAAAAATTCATTATACATGGACATAATATTTAATCATGGATGTTCATTCATTATTCAAAGATTACAAATGTTGCTCTGTAGAATGTATTTTTCTAGAATAAAATGGGTATAACTACTATCACAGTGCATAAATATATTCAATAAATCCATTATTTATTTGTTTTCATGAGCTCATATTTTTAATTGAATACATTGTTGTTCAAGTTTTAAAGAAGACAATTTCCTGTCATGGCCTCTTATGCAATGACAATAAATAAAAGTCAAGGTCAATTGTTGTCGCATGTTGGCCTTTTATGAAAAAAGCCTGTCTTTACACATTGTTAGCTGTATGTTGCAGATCGATGGTGACAAATCGTAAGGGTTTAAAGATACTTGTTGATAAAACGAAGAGACATCATTAATCTAGGATTTATTTTCCTTATTATTACTGTAATTATGTATCTTTAGTGCTTCAGGTTGTATTTAATTGCTGCTGTCTTTTCAGTTCTCAATCATTTATGTTTTGTATTTAGACAGTCACCTAGGGTGCTGAATAGACTCTCTCAGGATTCCTATCTGTATAAATAGCTTATGTACTTCTTGTAAATGAATTCAAGGAAATAATATTCAGAAAACTTCATGGTATCAGAGCTTGGTTTCGTCTAAGCCTTTTTGGAGTCAGTCTATCACCTCTCCAACGGTCATTTTTTGGGTGTCTCTACCCTTCTCTCTCTTTAAGTCCCGGTGGAGTCTCTTCATCAAGGTTTTATCATGTCTAAAGAAGCCGAATCAGCCTCAAGTAACCTTGATCACTCAACCATTGTTTCAGCTGCTACTGCAGCCGCGTTTGCTCTTCGAAACCAGAAATTTGATCTCCCTTCTATCCCGCCATCTTACCGTCTCAATGGCAGGAACTATCTTGGGTGGTCAAAGCTGGTTTACACTCTTCTACGTGGCAAAGATCTTGAAGATTATCTCACTGTCTCTACCCCAGAAGAAGGAGAGATTGATGCTGCTATTTGGGAGAAAACTAATGCCAACGTACGGGTCTGGTTATGGGACTCTATGGATCCCAACATTAGCAGTACATGTTTATACATGGACTCGGCTAAAGAAATCTGGGATTTCATACAGCAGTCCTACTCTGTTGCTAAAGATGGCGCTTTTGTCTATGACTTATGGCTCAAAACAACGAATCTTAAGCAAGATTCACAATCTGTCACAGATTATGCAACTGACCTCCAACGACGATGGTCTGAACTTGACCAGTATCAAACGATGAAGTGGTCGAATGCTGCAGATGCAGCTCTTCACAAGAACTATATAAATCAGCAACGTCTATATTGCTTCTTGTCTGGTTTAAATCCCGAATATGATCAGACTCGGGGTCAAATTCTTGGCATTACTCCTCTGCCTTCCATATCTTCTGCCATTGCCACTATCAAACATGAAGAGAGCAGACGCAATATAATGATGAATACAAATCTGATTGACAGTACAGCTCTTGCTGCCAAATCTACTCCTTCAGATGTTAAGGAAACTAAGGGTAGTAAGGGAGGAAGATGGTGTGATCATTGCAAGCGGTCCAACCATAATGTGGATACATGCTGGAAACTTTATCCTCATCTACAGAAAGAAAGGAAAAGCCAAGACAGACGTGGAATGAGTGTTGGACGTGCCAACTCAGTCACTCCCACTATTGTTGAGAGCTCTACTAATCTTTGGCCCATTTCCCAGGAGGAATTAAAGCAAATTCGTATGATGTTACAGTCTCTTAATAACTCAAATGGTTCTGGTCATAGCTCTTTGGCCCTGCAAGGTAAAACCTCTACTATTTTTTGTCTTAATGCTTCGGAACAGAGTTCACAATCCCAATGGATATTAGACTCAGGTGCCACATCTCATATGACTGCCATACCCTCTTTACTCTCTAATTATCATCCATGTTTTACATCCACGCACATTACTACTGCTGATGGGACACCTACAAAGGTTGCGGGACTTGGTACGGTTGTTTTTTCTGAAAAATTAAATCTGAAAAACACCCTACATGTCCCAAACCTGGCTATGAACCTTGCTTCTATTTACAAACTCACAGTTGATCTTAATTGTGCTGCCATTTTTTTCCCTTCCCACTGTTTATTACAGGATCTACACACGGGGAGGACGATTGGAATTGCTAAACAAAGAGATGGCCTGTACTACCTTGATGCACTGTTTGTCTCCAAACCTCCACAAAAAGCTCTTACCACAATCACAGCCAATACCAACACTATTTGGCTTCACCACAAGCGTCTTGGCCATCCCTCTTTTCATGTCCTAAAAACCATGTTTCCCAGTCTTTTTAGTAGTATTGATGTTTCTACATTTCAATGTGATGTCTGTGAACTTGCTAAACAGTCTCGTGTATCTTTTTCCAGAAGTAATACAATCAGTTGTTCTCCTTTTGATATTATACATAGTGATGTCTGGGGTCCTGCTCCAATTGCTAATATATCTGGTGCCCGGTGGTATGTTACATTTATTGATGATTGTACACGTTTTATGTGGGTTTTTCTGCTAAAAAACAAGAGTGAGGTGAGTTCCATCATTCCTATCTTTTGCAATATGATTCATAATCAGTTCTCCACCACAATAAAACGCTTCCGCACTGATAATGCTCTTGAATACTTCAATCAAACCGTTTCCTCTTATTTCCTCTCAAAAGGCATTGTTCATGAGTCCTCTTGTCCGTACACACCACAACAGAATGGCACAGCAGAAAGAAAAAATCGCCATCTCCTAGACGTCAGTCGGGCTTTATTGTTTCAATCAAATATGCCTAAACACTATTGGGGGGAAGCCACACTCACAGCATGTCATCTCATCAATAAAATTCCCAGTCGGGTACTCCAAAATAAGTCACCCCTTGAATCTCTCCGTCATTTCTTTCCTCAAACCAGAATTTCTTCTGATCTTGATCTAAGGGTGTTTGGGTGTACTGCATTTGTTCATATTCCTCCACCTCATAGGGGAAAATTGGACCCACGATCTATTAAGTGTATCTTTCTTGGTTATTCTCCAACTCAGAAAGGATATAAGTGCTATAATCCTACAACCAGAAAGACATACACCAGTGCAGATGTGACCTTTCACGAAGACACACCTTTTTACACTCCTACTTCTCTCCCTGTATCCCAAGATACTCCACATCCTTCACCTCTGCCCACCTATACTATTACATCTTCTCCACCACATACAATCTCCTACCCTCCTAAGCCTTTATCACCAGACATCCCATCACCACCACCACCACATGATCATCCATCACCTTCCTTAGATGTGTCAGCAACCTCACCTACTTCCCAACAGTCTTCAACATCACCTGAACCTCAATCAAATACACCACCAGATCATCCCATTCCTACACCTACTAAATCCACCACTCATGACCCATCTTCTCCTCTACCAGTGACAAAAGTGTACTCAAGGAAAAACAGGTTCACTCCATTGTTGACGCATGACCAATTGGCTGACCCAGGTAATGTCTCTTCTTCTCCACCACCATCTCCGCCAATTGCTTTACGCAAGGGTGTACGTCAATGTACCAAAACACCTCTATACCCTCTTGCTAATTTTGTTACCATTGATAACTTCTCTCCTTCACATGCCTTGTTTGTTCAGAGACTTAATGAAATTCCCATACCCAACTCTGTTTCTGAGGCATTAGGAAAGAAAGAATGGAGGGATGCTATGCAAGAGGAAATTAGAGCTCTTGAAAAGAACCATACTTGGGATATTGTGACTAAACCTCCTGGGAGGCATGTTGTTGGATGCAGGTGGATCTTTACTGTCAAATACAAGGCTGATGGATCTCTTGAGCGGTACAAAGCTCGTCTTGTGGCTAAAGGATACACTCAGACGTATGGGATTGACTATCAAGAGACCTTTGCTCCTGTAGCTAAGCTCAATACTGTCCGTATCCTACTATCCTTGGCATCTCACTTTGATTGACCTTTATTGCAATTTGATGTCAAGAATGCTTTTCTCCACGGTGACTTGCATGATGAGATCTACATGTACATTCCCCCAGGCTTTAATAAAACATCAACAAGAACCTCTACACATGTATGTCATTTAAAAAAAGCCCTCTATGGTCTCAAGCAATCCCCTCGTGCTTGGTTTGACCGCTTCACACAGGTTGTTCTTGCTGCTGGGTATAGTCAAAGCCAAGGGGATCATACTCTTTTTTACAAACACTCTCGCCCAAATGGAGTCACTATTCTTTTGGTATATGTGGATGACATCATTGTGACGGGTAATGATCCAGTTGAGAAACAACGTCTTGAGGGGCAGCTGAAATCCAAATTCGAGATGAAGTCTCTTGGCCCTCTAAAATACTTTCTTGGAATTGAAGTTGCTCGCTCGTCTGAAGGCATCTTTATCAGCCAACAAAAGTACATTACAGATTTGTTAAATGAGACCGGTAAGAGTGCTTGTCGACCGGTTAATGCACCTATGGATCCTAATCACAAGCTTGGACTTGCTACTGATGAACCCAAGGTTGATTCATCAATGTATCAGCGCTTGTGTGGCAAACTTATCTATCTCTCTCATACTAGACCTGACATTGCCTATGCAGTTAGTGTTTTGAGTCAGTTCATGCATGATCCAAGGAAACCACATCTAGAAGCAGCCTATAGGGTTCTTCACTACCTAAAAGGAAGTCCAGGGCAAGGGATAATATTCAGGAAGGGTGGGCAATTATCAGTCCAAGCCTTCACTGATGCAGATTATGGTGGCTCCCTCGTTGACCGCCGGTCAACTACTGGTCTCTGTGTTTTCCTAGCAGGAAACCTCGTGACATGGAGAAGCAAAAAACAGAATGTTGTGGCACGATCATCTGCTGAATCTGAGCTAAGAGCTCTTGCCCATGGCTTATGTGAACTTCTATGGATCAGAATTATTCTCTTAGATTTACGAATCAAGTGGAAAGGACCAATGGAATTGAGGTGTGATAACAAATCAGCAATCAACATAGCTCATAATCCAGTCCAACATGATCGGACCAAGCATATTGAGATTGATAGGCACTTTATCAAAGAAAAGGTTGAAGGAGGTCTGATCGAACTAAGCTACACTCCCTCAGAAGATCAAGTTGCAGATGTGTTTACCAAACCTCTGCACAGTCCTAGGTTCCAGGGTCTTATTGTCAAGCTAGGCATGACGGATATCTACAAACCTAGCTTGAGGGGGAGTGTTGATAAAACGAAGAGACATCATTAATCTAGGATTTATTTTCCTTATTATTACTGTAATTATGTATCTTTAGTGCTTCAGGTTGTATTTAATTGCTGCTGTCTTTTCAGTTCTCAATCATTTATGTTTTGTATTTAGACAGTCACCTAGGGTGCTGAATAGACTATCTCAGGATTCCTATCTGTATAAATAGCTTATGTACTTCTTGTAAATGAATTCAAGGAAATAATATTCAGAAAACTTCAATACTCATATGCCGTGAAAATGGAGAACAACTGGACCGAACTACCAATGTTGTCTACAAAGAAGTATTTCGTAATGTGTAGAGTACGCATTTCCAATTGTAATGTTTATTTTTCCTTACTCTTCCAAAACAATATCCGTACCAATTACGAGTCATATATACACACACACACACACACACACACACACACATATATATATATATATATATATATATATATATATATATATATATATATATATATATATATATATATATATACACCTTAAATTTAATTATTTATGTGTATTACATACATACTCTTTCACGTCATTTATACATTAACGATTTATATTAACAAATAATATGAAATGATTATTATTACTTAATATATGTCCGCGGGTGAAAATCTAGTTTACAACCAAATGTTCGTAGGACATTTTCCATGCAATTTTTGTCCAGAAGGGTTATACGAACTGGAATGGGAAATGAAAACGAATTTTTTGGAGGAAAACGAGAACAATAGAAGAAGAAAAGACCGTGAAAGCTTTTAGAGCCAAATGGAAGAGAGAGACAAGGGGATGCAACGAGAAACTTTCGTAGCCTTTCTCAGACCACAAAACCATGTTGTTAATTTTCTCATGAACTCTCAGCATCACCAGACCCAGAAATATTGTTCTTACGCAGCCAGGAAAGGAAACATTTTTTTTATTCAGAGATCTTCTCCCCCTTTTGCCTTAAGAGACTGAAATTAAAAAGATGATTTCTTCAATGGCGGCACCTTCTTCCTATTCTTCATCTTCATGGTTCTTAGCATCATCCTCTGTGGTGGTTCGAGTTGAGAAGGCCACGAGTGAGTTCTTGATGGGCCCTGATTGGACTATGAATATCGAAATCTGTGACATTATCAATTCCAATCATTGGTATTTCCAATTTCCTATTCCGTTTCTTCTTGATATTGTTGTTGTTGTTGTCTTTTGTGCTTCATTTTTCTCTGATTTTATTTGTAATGATAAAAAATTGACCCATCTTTCTAAGCACCCATAGTTCTGTGGAAATTATTAATCTCATGTGGAATTTGACATTGCAATGGTTAATTTTGCACATTAGATGGAGAATGTTATCTATGATTATAATTTTTTATTCTTTATTAATTTCGTGTGTATCTATCATTGTAATGGACTAATGTATGTTTTGCACTTTTGCACATTAAGTAGAGAATGAGTATTTGTCATTATTATTTTTCTTTAGTACCTTCATGTGTAACTTAACATCGTAAAGGTTGATTTTTTGTAATTAAATTGTTTTATTTGTTTTTTTATAAATTTATATATGCAATTTATCATTTTAATGGTAGACTTTGCATATTATATGGAGAATGAAGTTCTTGGATCTGTTTGTTGTTACTCAAGTTATCCCAACCGACTATTTTGTTGTGCCCCAAAAGCTCAGTGTTCTGTTCAGTTACATGCAGAAACTGTCTGATTGAAGAGATGATCAGTATGAAGTATTTGGCTTTGCCTATAAATATTACTCTTATGAAGTAGTTTATATGGAGATGGTATAACTTGTAATCTAACCATTGCTACGACTTTCAGGGTGGCAAAAGAAGTACTGAGATCAGTGAAGAGAAGGTTGCTCAACAAGAATCCAAAAGTGCAACTACTTTCATTAACGGTATCTTTCAAAAAATAAATATTGTCAACATTTATTCGCATTTAGTTTAGAAATATGCTACATTAAAGTACAATCTAGTTTCTATAAGTCTTCTGTGGTTTACAAACTCATCTTTTCCTTTCTTTTAGCTTCTGGAGACCATGGTGAAAAACTGCGTTGACATTATTCACATTCAAATTGCTGAAAGAAGCATACTACCTGAGATGGTCAAAATTGTAAAGAAGACGGCAAGTGGCACATCCATATGCTTCTATTATATACAGAAGTGTTGTTTAAATCTAATACTATTCATTATCCTGGATGAGATTATTTGAGTTCTCTTTTCTTCACCAATGTTAATAATGATGCTCTTTTCTCTAATTCTTTATGTGAACATTTTTTGCACCATTTATGCACCAAAATAAAAATATTAATTTCTGTTTTCATCTGTATGTCATTGTTGGATTCACAGATGGATACACGTGTGAGAGACAAAATATTAGTATTGATAGACTCTTGGCGAGAGGCGTTTGGTGGCCCTGGGGGGAAATATCCTCAGTATTATTGGGCATTTCAAGAACTAAAGGTGTGCTTTTCATGCTTGACTTCCCCACTGTTTTTGTTATACGGGGTACTAAATTGTGGAAAATACAATTTTTTTGACAAATCGATTTTGTGGGTTTTGCAATTTAATGGTCAAGCTTATTGCAGAATGCTGGTGTGGGATTCCCCCCACGTTCAAGGGATTCAGCCCCAATTTTTACTCCTCCTGTGTCTCATCTGGCACGAAAGCATCCCCAGCTAGGCTACAAAACGCCAACTGATTCTTCAATAGTACCTCAGGCTGAAATTTTAAGGTGAGTATTATTTCTGGAGCTATGTTTATTCTTTCTAGGAATTACTGTTTTTCTTGATTCCAAATACTACGTATATCATTTTTTGTTATTTTATAGGTCCCTAAACATTTCGTTTGCCCTTGTATTTTTCGTTCTTTTCTTTGTAAAGCCTCACACATAAAGTCAACTTCCTTTAGAGAAAAACCGTTGTGATTCATAAAACTCTAGCATTGCTTTTCTATGATTTTTTTAAAACTTAATGCTTAAAATATATATTTTGAGAGAGCTAGATAGAGGTAAATTAAAAGGTTGATTGATGAGCGACTAGCTCAACCAAGGATTCAAGACGTGAAAGCTGAGTGAAAAGGAAGGTGTAAACAAACGGAGAAAAAGCTGCGGCTTTATCTCATTTGGTATTATTTTTAATACACATGCTAGAGAAAATGATATTGGCCTTTTAGAATTAGTCACTCCCTCTTTGGAGTTGTTCAGTTTGAGGATTTTGGAGGTGAGGGAATGGGAAGGTGATATTCAGTTTTGAAATATTGCTATGTTTAGCTAGTTGGAAAGAATGTGAAGATAATAAGTTATATAGAAATACATGATCTAACTAATCACATAGTTAGTTTTAGTTTAAAATGAACACATAGAAATTAATTAGTAAAGTAGAAATCAATCCGCCCCCTCCTCTTTACAAATAGAAATTAATTAGTAAAGTACAATTTTGCTTCAAACCTTTATTTTCACATACAAAAAATTGTGGGGAAATTAATAAAAAAATTCATGCAATCATGAATAACTCTTTTATCCTGTCCATCCGAATTTCCTCCCCTTGGTACGCCACTGCTCCCCTCGGATTCAAGAACCATGCAAGCCCTTTTTGTAACTTCCTGAATAGTCCTTGGGTAGTTACAGAAAGTTGTAATAATCTGATTGATGCCAGTATATAAGCCAAACTGAAGGTTTTGAGACACATTATTACTTAACTAATTAAGGTCAAGGAAGAGGGCTAAAAAGAAAATAACGTAAATGAATGGGATGAATAACAAAATGAATTACAGAGATCACAATAAAGCACTATATTTGTAGGGATGAATCTTTTTTATTTAAACATCTATTGTTTGGCTATGTGCCTATGTCGTATTTTTACTTTTGTATTATTAATATGTGCACACACATTATTACAGTTTTCCAACCATAACTTCTATGAGAGGTATCCTAAATCTTTTAGCTGAAATGCTGCAAGCTGTGAACCCAAGCGACGGCCCTGTAAGTTCTCACTCTTCGGTCTAACTCTCTTTTTATAACATGCTATATATTTCCAGTAAAAATCTTGACTTCCACTCAATTTCATTCATCATTTCATCCTAGGCTGCTGTAAAAGATGAAGTTATAGTTGATCTTGTTGAACGCTGCCGTGCAAATCACAAGAAACTGCTGCATATGTTAACCACAACTGGGCAAGTTTCTTTCCCTTATTTAGTAGAATTCAGGATTAGGCTTCCAAAATATTATGAATTCATATTATCTCTTGAATATATGGCAATGTGGGAAAACACTAGTAACTTTAACCTAGATGTGAGATTAAGCCTAATTTACCTCACTCGTATATATCTGGTAGGCATCCAATGTGCAACACTTTATATGCTATCTAGCCCCAATCGGGCTAGACAACTTTGACAGGTGGATAAATGTGTCAAACCAGCACAAAATAAGCTATTCAAACCATGTGTAAAAAAGAGCTCTTAATGTGAGAAACATTCATTGTACAACACTTAATAGTATACGACTGGTGTGCTATTGTTCTAGATGTTATTGATTTTTTACAATACTAAATCATTCTAGGGATGATGATGCTCTAGCCAAGGGTCTTGAATTGAACGATGCCCTACAAAGTGTGCTTGCAAAGCATGATGCCATATCTTCTGGTACTGTCTTCCCAATTTCAGTCAAGGAGATCAAACATGAATCAACTGAGTCACTTGAAGTTGGTAGTAGTGGAGCTGGCCCAAGTAATACAGAACAAGAAAATGAACACGCTCTTGTACCTGTGCCTTGTCTTTTAGGTGAAGAAGAAGACGAAGATGATGACTTTGCACAACTGTCTCAAAGGTAATTAACCATACCTTATTTGATTTCATTTTCACCATGATATGATCTTTATGTTTTAATTTATATCCACTTTTAGTCCTCCGATAATTATATCAATGACACTTTACATACACATCTCTGTAGTTTTTCATTCTTTCTTATTCTGAGACTATTATGATATAAACACTTTTGTTATCCATCTGTTATCTTCTAAACAATATGATTGTGACACTTTTAGTACTCATCTTTAGAAAACAGTCATAGGATTACTTGTGGAAATTTTAAAAAGCGGGTACTGAAAGTGCCTCTGTTATAAAGTGAACTAGAAGTGGAAAAGGCTCAAAGATGAGTACCAAAAATAGCATCACTCCGATAGCTATAGGGTAAAAATGGGGAAAAAATCTTTACGTTTTGTTCATTGTGAGTTCAGACATTCTAAAACCGGTGAAGGAGAGCTGTCAGATCCTCCAAGTGTGAACAATGCATTGGTTCTTCGCGACCCTCCTGTCCGCACAAAAGAACAAGACATGATTGACCTATTAACCATCACCTTATCATCAAACACCTCCACAGAGCCCATTCCTGAAACACAAGACATAATAAACGAAACGCCCTTGGTTGATTCTTACCCGGGAGGACATCAGAACAATTACGTAGCCACTTGGGCTGCTCAACCTCAACCGCAAATGCAGCCTCAAACTCAGACGTATTCTCCACCGCAATATCCACAACAACCTCAGTATTTTTATGAATTACAGCCACAGCCTCAGTACCCACAGTACTATGGGTATACCTCTCAACACTATGCTCCAACGCCCGGTTATTATAGCAACTCATATGCATCATTTTCTGGATCTTCAAATGCCTTCCCAACTTGGGGAAACAATAATGGGATTGCACAAGTTGGTGTGAGTTCCTCATCTTCTGGGCAAAAGCAAGCGTTTGTTCCGTCATATAGGCTGTTTGAAGATTTGAATGTTTTGAGTGGTAATGGGGATCAATCATTTAAGACGACTACGATGACGGGCAACTCATCTTCCACCAGCTTGTTTGGGGCAAACACTCAAAGTTTGATTGGTGGGCGCAAATGAAATGGTTCAATTAAATGACCGTATAAGCATGGGTTGATAATCTGCGGCCTCTCTTCGCCATTTTTCAAGTTCTTTTTGCAGGTTAGAAATAATTACACAGTAGTTTGATGTGATACCATGAATTGTGTATTTTAGCTCAATGTATAATCAAATTATAACTCGAGCGCACAGATACACATCATGAGTGCTAACTCGCAATACTTCCTTGAATAAAGCATAATCATCCCCACATGTGATGAATATCTGGATTATGTAGTACATGGTTGGAGATTTACATTTTACCTCTAGCTCTATAAGGTTAGTTATTCATTCTGAAAGATTTTGACTTGAGAATTTTTTTCATAATAATAGACTAGGGGTTGATTTGAGCCAGCTCTGATCTCGGTCTGATTTTGGACCGTCCAATTCGGGCTCCCCCATCCGAGAACTGTGAATCGGTATGGGGCAATGTTCTAAAAGGCGCTAGGCCCTAGCTGGACGCCAGCCGCCTAAGCGGCCAGCCGGGCGCCTAGTCGGGGATTAGTCGGAGACATAGAAATTGCATTTTTATCTATATTTTTGCATAAATATGATAAGTAATATTGTATTTTTGTTTGAATAAAATACATATACATACATACACACTCACACATTAGCAAACATGAATGATAGGATTATCACATTTAATCATACGTAGTATATGATAACTAATCATTAACTTCATTATGTTATAAATATAAATAATAATAAAATTTAGGTATATATACAAACATATATAGTTTTATCTTAATCTACAACTTCATTTCTTTATATCCATGGCTAAAGTTAAAGTATGTATATCATTTAGAAAATTAAAATTAAAAAGTAAAGTAATGTTCAGTGAATTTAGATGGCCTAGGCGGCTGATTAGGCGCTCTAGGTGGACAACTAGGCGCCATAGATGACCGACTAAATCACCTACTACCTAGACGGCAAACCAATTAGATGGAGCGCTCAGACGAAAATCGGGGCGCTCGACCACCGCCTAACGCCTAGGCGGGGACTAGTCGGACGCCTAGAACAATTTTTATAACAGAGGTATAGGGTATATATCGGTTCTCGGTAGATTGTTTACTTTTTTACATTGTGTTATACTCCGTACCTTATATTGATAATACAAGTATTATTTAATTGTATTATAATACTAAAATATACGTAGTACTCCCTCCGTCCCGCAAAATAGTTTCCGGTTTCCTTTTTGGACTGTCCCAAAAAAGTTCTCATTTCCCTTTTTGAAAAGTTTTGTGTGACTCACATTCATTTACTTTTTTCTTACTCAACCATAACCATACATTTCCACTTTATTCCCACTTTTTTAAACTCCGATCCAAGTCAATGCAGATTCTATTTTATGGGACGGAGGGAGTAATATATTACCATATTACAATATATAATACTCCGTATTACAATTATATTGTACTCCATAGTATACTATCGTAAGAGACAAATTGAGCTGTATTTTTCTAAACAACATATTTAGTATAAAGATTTATATACTCATTACAGAAAACAAGTCTAACCGCAGTCGGACCTCGATCAAGCTTGATTTGGTATTGCTGTATCGGACATTGAAAAACGATTCGGATTCGAATAAAAATATTCACCTATTTCCTGTCCAAACCTGTTTTGGAACCGTGTCCCAAAACTCATTAAGAAACTAGATTTATGTGTTCATGTATGCTATATTGTGGTGTAAATTGGAATGATTGTATTTTAATTTGGAATATCTTATCACACTTTCTTAAATGTACATGTTTGCTTAAACTAGACATCCTAGCTAATCAAATACTCCATATTTGATTTGTTCCATTATTATCTTTACAAAGTTATTTCGTTTGTCTTAAAACAAATTTCATTTTTTTAAATAAAGATTATGTATTTCACATAATTTCTTTTTCCTTGGCTTTAAACTAGGAGGTGATACGGAAAACCGAATTGATAAAAATGGAATCACAAGCAAAATAAATCGAACCACAAGAAAATCATAACTAAACTAAAAAACCGACGCATATTATAATTGTTTGGTTGTGGTTATGGTTTTCACTACTAAAATTCGAATCGGATCGTACAAATTGACTTTTTAAAATATGCTAATTTATTTATTAATAATCAAGTATAATTTTTTGTTTAGTTTTTAATTCTTAATTCTAGAAGGTTATAATTTTATGGTACCATGGATCGCAACCATGCCCATTACTGGGATCGGCCCATTAATCGAGATCAACGACAGATAATAGCCGTCGGGCCTAATTAGGAATCCAACCCGTGAACGGAACTCACAACCAGGCTGGACAGCGCGTAGGCCTCGAGCCTGGGTGGAGTTCTAGCGAGGTCAGACTCTTCCTAGGTTTTATTTGGCAGTATCATTCGAGCATAGCTATCTGGCAGCGGCAGGAAATAACGGAAGAAACGTGAACCTAGAGGAACAATGATTGCACAACGTTCAAGACATTACATGACTATATTATAATTAATTGCATGAAATGCATCAGTTTCCTCCTAGCATATTTGAACCTAAGGTCTATAAATACTTCTTGTTCACATCCTACCAAGGATCCGAATTCCGAAATACGGAGTAATAATATTGTCTTACGTTGCTTAAATTTCATCTGCTCTCGTAGATTAGCTCTAGTAGTTGGATTAAACTCCATCATAATTAATACTAGATCTATTATAATTTTTAAGATATTTAAATGTTATATTTATATTGGAATGACCTATGGGTCGAGGCTTTTGGGACATGGGGACTGGGGAGGGGGAGAGAAGAACAATGATACCGTAGATAAGAAAAAAAGAAAGGTACATGATCCATGTAAGATGGAGAGAGAGAAGCTCTAAAAGAATTCAAAAAGAAAAAAATCTATTGGTATACACTATTGGTACACACTCTTACACACTCATGTCTGTGAGGTGTTTTTTTATGTCTGTCCCGGATAAAACGTATTTATCAAATACGTTTTGTCCGGGACAGACATAAAAAAACACCTCACAGACATGAGTGTGTAAGAGTGTGTACACAAAGTGTGTAGCTCAAGTCTGATTCATTCGAAAAAGAGCAAAGGAAAGGATCCTAGTAAGGGTAGTTATCCTATACCTAAAAGCACTACGTGCTAAGGAAAAAATTTTCCCGCCTATGCCTAATTTCACTTATCCACACAAAGTCTCCGCAATTAGTTTGGCCCATTTCGTAATTTGACTTATCCGCACAAGTCTCCGCACCAAACGCCACTCCGCACCAAACGCCACTCTTCTCAGACATTCACCCTAACTACGCTTCTTCATCTCCGCACCAAACGTCCGCTCTTCTCAGACATTCACCCTAACTACGCTTCTTCATCTCCGCACCAAACGTCCGCTCTTCTCAGACATTCACCCTAACTACGCTTCTTCATCTCCGCACGAAACGTCCGCTCTTCTCAGACATTCACCCTAACTACGATTCTTCATCTCCGCACCAAACGGCCGCAGTTCCTACAATTTCACCAAAACTACAATTCTTCATCTCCACATTTCTCAGAATTTCACCCCAACTAGAATTCTTCAATACCTCAAACTCAGAATAATATCTTCACTACTATATATACAGATGAAGATCGATGCGGTTCATACTCTCGCTCCACACAAGGTATTTTGTAATTCTTCTTTTTCTATATTTATCGTTCACTTATTTCTGATAACTCGTGCCTGCCGTCCTACTACCTGTGTTTACAGAAATCCAACCGACGAAAGGATAGTCGGAGACAGGCGAGGAGACTGGACTATTGCAACTGCCCGTGTGTGAATTCAAGGTATATATTCCAATTTTGTTTTTTGACGACTTTTGAGCTTAAGTTGTTTATTTTTAAAGTTTGAATAAGAACATTTGAAAACTTCCTTTTAAGCTTTTCATTAGATGAATATATGATGAAACAGATTGTTTTGAGCTTGGGTTTTTAATTTTTTATGTTTTGAGTCTGCTTTAGCATCTATTAGATTGACTATTGCAACTGCCCGTGTGTGAATTCTATGATGAATATAATACACAAATTAAAGGAACTCATGTGATTTAATGAAAACAGATTGTTTTGAGCTTGAGTTTTTAATTTTTAATGTTTTGAGTCTGCTTTAGCATCTATTAGATTCAGCTGAAGTTTATCATTTTTAAATATGCATTTCACTTCCCATAATAAGAACTTTTGAGCTTGGGTTGTTTAGTTTTAAAGTTTGAATAAGAACATTTGAAAAATTCCTTTTAAGCTTTTCATTAGATAGAACTACTACTTCAAAAAATGCAGTTCACTCACCATCCCATGCTAGAGAGTAGTATTTGACATTGTATTAGATTTCTATGATGAATATAATACACAAATTAAAGGAACTCATGTGATGTAATGAAAACAGATTGTTTTGAACTTGGGTTGTTAATTTTTAATGTTTTGAGTCTGCTTTAGCATCTATTAGATTCAACTGAAGTTTATCATTTTTAAATATGCATTTCACTTCCCAGAATAAAAACTTTTGAGCTTTGGTTATTTATTTTTAAAGTTTGAATAAGAACATTTGAAAAAATCCTTTTAAGCTTTTCATTAGATAAAACTACTACTTCAAAAAATGCAGTTCACTCACCATCCTATGCTAGAGAGTAGTATTTGACATTGTTTTGGATTTCTATGATGAATATAATACACAAATTAAAGGAACTCATGTGATGTAATGAAAACATATTGTTTTGAACTTGGGTTTTTAATTTTTAATGCTTTTAATCTGCTTTAGCATCTATTAGATTCAACTGAAGTTTATCATTTTTAAATATGCTTTTCACTTCCCAGAATAAGATCTTTTGAGCTTGGGTTGTTTATTTTTAAAGTTTGAATAAGAACATTTGAAAAATTCCTTTTAAGCTTTTCATTAGATAGAACTACTACTTCAAAAAATGCAGTTCACTCACCATCCCATGCTAGAGAGTAGTATTTGACATTGTTTTGGATTTCTATGATGTATATAATACACAAATTAAAGGAACTCATGTGATGTAATGAAAACAGATTGTTTTGAACTTGGGTTGTTAATTTTTAATGTTTTTAATCTGCTTTAGTATCTATTAGATTGAGTTGAAATTTATCATTTTTAACTATGCTTTTCACTTCCCAGAATAAGAACTTTTGAGCTTGGGTTGTTTATTTTTAAAGTTTGAATAAGAACATTTGAAAAATTCCTTTTAAGCTTTTCATTAGAGAGAACTACTACTTCAAAAAATGCAGTTCACTCACCATCCCATGCTAGAGAGTAGTATTTGACATTGTTTTGGATTTCTATGATGAATATAA